TTTTTACAGCACGATAGTCCCGTTTTCTTGAAATTCTTCCGTGATGTCCTATGAATCTTAATATTTTATATTAGAAGAGAGAAAAAGATTACTATTTGTTAAGTGTCATATAAAAGAAAATATTGTTTTAAAATACCTATTTTATTATTGAAAGTCTTTTAATTTAAATTGCATATAATTCAGCAAATATCAATTTTTGGACTCTTATATTTACACTCACAATCAGAGAAAAACGTAGTGACAGCAATTATACTGATAATAATTTTATATTATGTAGAATTAATATACAGTGTCCTAAACTTTTTAACATACCGTTTGTGGATAGATAGAACTGGCTAAACTAAATTGGAAAGTCCTCTACCATTTTGCAATTTTCGAAATTCTTTTTTTTTTTACTAAAGCAGGTCTAAAATTGATGCAAAAAACAACTTTTAGATATCTCTAAAAGTCTTTAAAAAACATCTTTAAGATATTTCATGAAAAACTCGAAAAGATATTTTGAAGTTATCTTATGCGTCGATTTACTTAGCAATCTTTAGAAATTAATATTTTGTTAACTATTGCGAAAATTACAAAATGATACAGGACTTTTTGATTTAATCCGATCTACCTGCCCATAAGCAGTATCAAAAGTTTGGAACTCTTTATATAGTTAAGTAAGTTATTGCAACCATAAAACAGTTCATTCAAATATGTACATTAATTCTACATTTAAAATTTGTACAGTCACCTATGTAGCTGCCAGCACTGTCTTTTTCTTTGAGTGTATCAAAGATTGACATTGGTAAAAGAAAAAAAAGCCGTGATTAAAATTATACTAGACGATTTTGCGGAATTTTTGCGACTAACAATTCACCGACCGCAAGTATCGTGATATCATTCGTATATATTCTGTATGTTTTATCAAGTAACGAGACGGTGGCTGTCTACGTTATTTCAAACATGCATTCCCAGGGTCGACCTTTTCACTCTGACAATAACAGCGACGACAAGAACGACGAGGGACAACCAGAGGAAATTTCTCATGGGCTGGATATTGGTTTCTCCGCAGTACACGAATAATTCCACCCTTGACAATATGTAGAACAGCCTTCAATAGAACTTCGCGGGAAAGGGGGATGCCAGGAAACATTGCGTTCCTCGAATTTCGTGCTTCCTTCTGAACTCCGGAACGGATTGCATTCTGTTCCTTGCAACCATCCTGCCTAACATACTTGGTTGTCGGATTCCTCGTCCTCTTCGTGTCGTTGTATGTCCTTTGTATCTTGTGCTTGTTCTTTTGCGTCTTTTAATATTCTCTCTCTCAGAAGGCTTCTCGTGCAATTCGGTTTCCACATATTCGATTTAGGACAGGGTGGAGAACGATTCTCTAGCAGCTATTCTACTCCCCGACAAATTACCTTGTTATTTTCATGCAAGAGACATACAGAGCGGAGCCTTGGACAGTTCCCGACTTCGACGATGCGGTTGTTCAAACAGCTGTTTTCCATCGTATAGTAAACGGCGGATGCATCGGCAAACCGGCATTGAGTACCTATGCAACTTGTGCGCACGCGAGATTTATCATATTACTCGTGTTCTCTTGTACTTCTTCTCTCACCTTGTTGTCATTACCACTTGCGTTTGTCTCCATTACCATTCGGATCTCGAATTCGAATACGATCACGCTTCAAAATAGTTCGAGAGTAGCGCTGGAATGAAAACAAGACAGAACGTAATAGCAAAATGCATTATGCATACTTATTCCATAACAAGGCGTAGGTTTGGTGAATAATCCAGCAGCGCCGGAATATTCAAAATGTAATGACTAGATTAAAATACAAAAACTCTCTCTTACAATTAGTAGCATATCCTGATATGTAATCCTACATAGAAATGAAGTTTTGTTTTTGGCACTTAATTATATCTTATATCATTATTTTACAATTCTCTAATAATTTCTTCGGTGATTTTATTAATCAAAACCGTATACTCATCATGTATGTACGTTAATTCCTCAAAATTGAATGACTTAGAGCAGAGCTGTTCAATGTTTTTTTCTTGAAATCGAAATGTATTGTTAGTCACACGTGTTACTGTTTCTACTCCTTATTTCATTGCTGTTTTGTCATAACATGCGACGCTCGGTCTCAGGGACGACACTAGTCTGAAATAGTTAAGGTTTTGACCGTGTCTTTCGCTATGTTTAAAAGTATTCTGTTACTAATATAATAATAAGATACTATTATTCATAATATATTTAACTGTAAAAATATGAATAACACAATACTTTTAAACATAGCGAAAGACACGGTCAAAAACTTTTAACGATTTCAGACTAGTGTCGTCCCTGAGACCGAGCATCGCATGCTACGTCAAAACAGCAATGAAGTAAGGAGTAGAAACGGTAACACGTGAATACCGATACATTTCAATTTCAAGCAAAAAAACATCGACTTTGGACAGCTCTGACTTAGAGGATTTTAAGTTTAAGTAAACTTTAAACACAATAAAAACTAGAAATAAATTATTAATAAAAAATTACTATTACAATACGCTCCCTTCAAAAGTAACACTCAGAAAACGTAAATTGTCGAATTATTACATTGAATGAGTTAGATAAACATTATTCCATTAATTATCAAAAGTAAACTAATTTAACTAAGTTAAATAAACTTGATAAAAAATCGTTAAAATATTACAACTCAAAGAGGGGATAAAAAAAATCGTCAATTGTCACAGCTCAACGGTGATTTTTTTTAAAAAAAAAAGATAGTTCTTTATTAAATTGAATTACCACAGAAATGTTTAATTTCTTTATACAGGGTGTCCGGAATTGAAATGTTAAAACTTCGGCAGTGTGTAGGAGATCAATAAACTAAGAAAAAAGTTTTATAGAAATATGCTCGTTTTTGCTTCGTTTTGAAGAAAATCACAAAAAAGACAAAACGTTTTTATTTTTGTACTTTTTTATTATTTATTCACGTTGTATTTATTCACCAGATTTATTCACCAGGATTTGTTCAACAGATCATAATGTTTATCCGATTTTTTGTGGCATTTCTTTACAAATAAAATGTTGCATTAAGGTAGTTAATTAAAGTCGTTAATAATGAGGATTAAGGAATGTGTGAATATCAAATGTAGAATTAACGTAACGTTTAAAATTAAACTTCTAATGAGTCGATCGTGGACCATATTCGCGTATTGCAATTGTTTTCTGGCACCGACTAAACGGTATAGCGGTATTTTACGAACTGTCGAATCGTACCGACGACAACTTCAAGATTTATTACCTCTTTGTCGTCTGCGAACTCGACCACTTCTCTTCCGTCGTTCTGTTTGCCTTTTTATTCTGTGCTCCTAGTCTTCTTGCTTTCCTACGCTATCTCGTTGGCATGTTCTCTCCTTCTTTTCCGCGGCACATCAACCTCTATCGCTCCTTGTTTTTCCGCGATTTAGCCTTCGAGATCCTGTTACCATGATTAAAAGAATCCGTCGACTCTCCCGGATTTCCCTGAAAGGTCATCCGAGCTTCTTGAAAAAAGCTCGGTTCTTTCCTCTGCTTCTCTCTCTCCCCCCCTCTCACTCTACTTTAAGTTCTCATCGTCTCCACTAAAATGTAACAACGAAATATATACATCGTAAATGTATAATATCACAACTTTATCATACTATCACAAAATAATTCTACGTCGCACCAAATGCATATGATAACTTTGCGGAAACTTAATCTAATTATTTTTTAAACCACTTTTCCTAAAAAAAAAACTTCGCCGAAAAATAAAGTTTTGATTATTTATCAGAAAAGATTAAGAAGCATTTTGTTAGAACAGAAGGTTTTTATATTATGAAATATGCAAATTTAAAAATTATACGAATACAAAAAAGATTGCAAAAAATTATTCTAGGTCCTCTGAGCTGCTAAAAATAACTTGAATTTGAAGTTTTATATAGATTTTTGAAGATTTCATACAGATCAGTTCCGCTATGGTTCTCTCACATCTTTTTACGCTCCAATAAAACGAACAACAAAATTTCTATCGAGATTTGTTCCCTAGTCCTTTATTGATTTTCTTGCTTTGTCTGTTGATTCTGCAGCGAGAAGCCCTTCCGCGTTCTTTTCACTCTTCTCGAGTCCGCGCGTCTTCGTTTTTACTTCGATCGGCTTTGAAGATCCTATTTCTAGGTGTAAAAACATCCTGCAGCTTGCTCGATAAGACTTCTTGTGTTGTCATGTCTGTATGTGCCATCTCTTGGTCGTTGCTCTCTCATGGCTGCCTTAGCTTATCGATTCGTCAGACGTTCGTATATGCAATATACAATAATCAAATAACGATAAAAATATCTTCTTCTTCTTTTTCTTAGTTTAGGGAATTCCCTGTTTTATCCAGCATCACTGTCCGGGATTCTCTTGAGACAATGATGTCCAGGACTGCATCCATCGTTTCGATGATCTCTCTGACGGTCTCCCGTTTTGCGATCTCTTGTTTTTGGCTATTTTCTATAAAAATATCTATTGAATACTATTCATTCGCAACGTGTAGCAGGATGAAAATCGAAAAATGACAGACGGCAAGAATAAGAAATAGATGTTGTACAGGATATTTTAGAATTACTGGTGATTTCTAGTCATAGACTTTATACTGTTATTGTCACAAATATAATCACTTTTATTAATTATGACAGAGATACGGATCACTCTCCGATGACCTTGACCTTGACATATGTTGTTAAGGTCATCACCCTAATGGCTCCTGCATACTGGACGCGGAAAAGCTTACCGCGCGGCAAAATGAGATGCGGTAACCAATGAACATGTTAGGAATTGTAAGCTTATTGGCTACCGCGTCACATTTTGCCGCGCGGCAAGCGTTTCCGCGTCCAGTGTGCAGGAGCTGTAAGTGATTTTCAACAGGTTTTAGCCGTCGCTCGTTATTCATTTGTTGGGGCCACTTTGTGTACACTTGTGCGGTGTACTGAGCCCAGACGAACATGCGACACTGACGAAAGATTGCATCATTCGACCAGTCGAACATACCAGTTGTACCAAAACCCGAAATATGCAGTCAGTGCGTCCCAGCCGAAATCACTATGAGTGCAAAAACGAAATGCAAATTATGAAATACATGTTTTATTAACAGTACAATAAAATGTATTGGAGATTATACGATTTAACCTGTTTTTTATACATTTTTACGGCAATTGTGTATGACAGTTTTATGTTTACTAGTGTATCCTAGCCGAAATCGCTATTCATTATACAACGGTCTTTATATGCACCAGTGCACACTAGTGCATCCCAGCCGAAATCGCTATAGACGCTTTATCGCGACGAATTTGTTATACGAAAATTGACACAAATGTGCGACTGAATGGTTGCGTGAGATATTGGTGTGGTAGTATATACAGACATGCAGGGATGGGAAAGTTACTTTGTAAAAGTAATTAATTACAGTTACAGTTTTTCTCTTTCAAAAAGTAATTAATTACCGTTACAAGTTATTAACTCTGAAAAGTAATTCGTTACAGTTACAGTTACTGAAAAAGTAATTTTAAGTTAGTTTTAAGTTACTTTTTTTCATCGGAATTTTCACTAATAGCATCGATACCATTAGGGCTGCATTCAGAAACGTTACCCGACTATCTTCGTGTATCATTTTACCCTTGTTTTTCACCTAATATTAAACAAGGATGGGGTCATCAGAGTAACTCAGCCTAGGACAATTAAAAAAAAACTGGTTTACACATTTACATGTTATACAATTTTATTTAAAAAGATAAAAAAATTGTATGGCAAAGACGTTTTTTGTTAAAGTAATATAAACACATATTAATATGAAGATGAATATGAAATAGCACATATATACAATGTTTTTTGTAAAAAAAAATTCTTTTTATATTCGGCTAAAAGTTGCAAGTAAATTCCAGCACTAATCCAAAATGTTAATAAAAATTCTTATTAATTTTTAACAGAATTTGGTATTCGATTGTATCATCGTGTAAATTCCTTCTGTTGCAATCAGAGTTGATGAAAAAGGCCTAACATTTATTATCCAAATACACTGATAAAAGCGTTATACCAATCACCAGTATCTTAAAACTATCTAATAACTAATCTTAAAACTAAATCGATCTCTTATTTACTGGATGTATTCCGAACCAGGTTAGCTTAGCTTATTTTTTCCCCTAGATGTTGGTAGTTCCGTAACTAAACCGAGAAGTGTTCCGAACCCGTCGGCTGTCATAACTCGTAATAGAAGCTAGTAGCTGATTTCGACGGCCGATGGGTTCGGAACACTTCTCGGTTTAATTACAGAACTGACAACATCTAAGGAAAAAAATAAGCTAAGCTAATCCGGTTCGGAATACGCCCACTATCTTCTACAATAAAAAAATCTTCTTACCTGGTAATATTACAGGAGTTTTTAAGTAGACACTAAAAATTTCCTTTATTTTATCAGCTGCTTGTGTCGACTGATTTTGCTTATTCCAAAGTTTTATTAGTTTAGCGAATGTCATTCTATATTCCTTCTTGTATACAGCTGTCGAAAACTTTATCGGAATCTTTCACTGCTATAAGATTCAATGTATGACTCGCACATCTATGATGTGGTGGAAGAATAAATGAATTTTCTGTCTATATTTTCCACATCGTCAGTAATTAAAAGATTACTTAGACTATGAAATTCTGTATTAATAGATTCTTCATCTTCATCCTTCTGGAAACTTCTATAATTTTTATTTATAAATTACATTAAAATATCTTATGTTAATTATACTTTATTTAATTATATCTGTAATATTTAATTACATTTTATTTATATTAATTATACAGATATATCAATTTAAAAAATTTTTTATATAAATTATATTAATATATAAAAAAACAATGTAAAAAAATTTTTCAAAAAGTATATAAAATATATGACCATAAACTTACTGGAAGGCTTTAACAAAATTTGATTCGTTATCGGTTGTTGTACCACATACTTTATTTTGGATGTGGTATTCGAGAAAGACTGAATTAATTGCCTGAGCTAAAAGGTCGTATGTATGTTTGCCTTTTATCCTGCGATAAGCTAGTGCAGCCGATTCTCTCTCTAAAGTTTCAGGATTAATCCAGTGTACAGTTATTCCTAAGTAATTTCTACAAATATAAATTTTAATTAACGAAATATTAAACACACACAATAATGGATATATACTATATAATGTATTACAATTTACTTTGTTGGACTTGAAACGCAATTCACGATTAAAAGTAATATCACAAAATTGTATTACATTGAGCGATAATTTTAATAATGGCTACGTTTCGACATTCACCGCCAGTACTAAAAATCTATAACGTATGTATGTCACATACACTATAAATTTTAAATACTTGTAGTAAATGTCGGAATACAACCTGTGATGTCAGATGGGAATAAATGAGAATTAAAACGGATTATTCAATCAACATTATTGTATTTTATGGCTGTTACTCTTAGACTGACTTTTTAGTGCCCAAACCTGCCCTCAGCGCCCTCTTACTCCCTATATTGGCCCAATGGAGGGAACTTCTCGCATTCAAATTATAAAGACAGTTTGTCACGATATTACAATACCTTCCTCCGAAGTTAACGATAACAAAAAAAAAGTATACAATAAAGCTTAAACTTAAGCGAATAATTATGTCTTTAAGATTAATATGTTTGTCTTAGCTGTCGGATTAAAATAAGCAGATAGATGATTACTAATTAGAGCGGTAATGCTCAGGTTTCTTGTGCAAACGGCCACTCCTTGTGTAGCCAGTTTTTAATATAGGTAGTTTACTGATACGAGTGTTGTTGCTAGTGGCTGCAACAGCTTTGTAGCTACAATTCGGAGAATCGACTAGCTGATCGGTATTTTCCTGTCTAATTTTTTAATTCTCACTCCGAGTGATCAGAGTGATGTCCTGTGAGTTGTCTTTATCTTTATAATTGATCACCGTGGGGATATGATTATCAACTAAATTTGAACTTAAATCCATATCCTTATGCGGATTGAGTTTGCAATCATTAGTATGAGTAGTTGTGATTAATTGATTAAGATGCCTTTTCCAGACCTCACCGGTTTTGAGCTTGACGCGATATATGCGAGAACTCAACGCTTCTGTGATTACAGCAGGGGTCCACGTCTTCTTGTTAGTTCTGTAATCTTGAACCATGACAGGGTCTCCCTTCTCTAAAAACAATGTCGCGAGTTCCTCTGTAATGCTCTCGTTGATCTTCAATTTTCTTTTCCTTGTAGGTAGATTTGATGCAGTCCAGCAGAGTCCTTATATTACGGTTAAACATTAGTTTACCCGGCGTCTCATCTGTAACACTGTGAGCTATAGTCCTGTAGGCGAATAGAAATCTGCTAATAAGTGTGTTCACTGATGTTGATTGGTTTTTACGGTCCTTCATTGCTTTGGCTAAAGACAACTTGAAAGTTTTTACCAAATTTTCAGCAGCTCTATTTGTAGACGGGTGAAATGCAGGAGAAGTGCTGTGCTTGATCTTGTTCTTTGTGCAGAATATTGCAAACTCTTTCGAAGTAAACTGCGCACCATTGTCAGTGATTATTTGCGATGGAAGTCCAAAGCGTGCAAATATTTCTCTAAGAGTTTCAATCGTGGAGTTAGCATTCGTGTTTTTCATCATAACGACTTCTGGCCACTTTGTGTAAGAGTCCATACACACAAGAAATGTGTGACCTTTGAATGATCCGGCGAAATCGAGATGTATCCGTTCAAATGGCTTTTCGGTTTGAGGCCATTTAATCAAAGAGGTTTTTTCTGGTTCAGCCCTAAATGACATGCATATCTCACAATTTTTTATTAAGTGTTCAAGATTCTTATCCATATTTGGGTACCAGAAGTAGGATCTCGCTAATTGTTTAAATTTAGTTATACCAAAGTGATTTTCATGGAGTTGATTTAACATTGCTGACTTTATTTTTTGAGGTACTACTACTCTATAGCCCCCATATCAAGATATCTTGCTCAGTATTAAGTTCATTTCTACGAACGTAAAATGGTTTAAGGTCCTCCTCCACTTGCGACGGCCATGCTTGATCAACATGTGCCATTACACGACTTAGTATCGGATCATTTCTAGTTGCTTCTCTAATTTGTAAATAGCCCAGGGGACGTCTCTGTTCCAAGAAGTGTAGATACTCACAGTCTGATTCCTGTAGTGCCTCTAGTTTTGCCGTAGTGAGTGGTAAACGTGACAAGTCATCTGCTCCTCCATTTTCACTATCTTTAACATATTGTAATTCGTAATTGAAATCGAATACAAATACGGCCCAACGTTGTAGCCGTCCAGCCGCCATGACCGGAATACCTTTCTTTTTACCAAATAAAGTTACTAGTGGTTTGTGATCCGAGGTTAGAATAAAACGTCGTCCAATGAAATATTGACTGAACTTTTTTACTCCCCAATAAATGGCTAAAGCTTCCTTGTGTATGAACGAATATCCTTTCTCAGCCTTGAATAATATTCTAGACGCAAAGGCTATGGGTTGTTCTGATCCATTCGGATACACGTGAGGTAACACTGCACCTATTCCTTGTTGCGAAGCGTTGCATGCTAATTTTATTGGGAGATTAGGATTGTAATGAGTCAAAAGTATCTGACATTAGGATGGACTTTGCTTCTAAACTTTTTTCACAGCTATCATCTCAAAGAAAGGCAGAATCCTTTTTTAATAGTCGATATAAAGGTTCTAATATGTCGGGTAGATTACGAATAAATTTTCTATAATAATTTAGCATGCCCACAAAAGCACGTACCTTATGTCATTTGGATGAGGTGCTTTTGCAATTGCACGAACATTATTTGGATCCATATAAAGACCCTTCGCATCTATGACATGACCAAGAAAATGTAAACTGTTCTTGAAAAATTCACATTTTTCCATGTTTAGTTTGAAGCCTGCTTCGTCGAGTCGTTTCAAGACTGCCTTTAAGTTAGACAAATGTTCTTCTTCCGATTTTCCTGTAATAAATATGTCGTCGATATAGATTGCTATTCCTTTGAGCCCACGTAATACATTTTCCACCTTCATTTGGAATATGGCACTGGCTGGTTTTGTTCCAAATGGTAAACGATTCACTACATATATGCCTCTGTGCGTATTCCGCGCCAGTAGCTCATGTGTTGATTGGTCCAGCACTAACTGATTAAAGGCATTTTTAAAATCTAGTTTGGTGAATTTTTGTCTATCTTGGACGGCCGCAAACATTTCCTCTATCTTGGGTAATGGCAGGGTTGTTAACGTTACATAAAAAAGTAACGAAGTTACTGGTTTC